AACGTGATTTTTTTGATCCAGTTTCCAGAAACTGGTGGTTGGGGTTTGGACACAACAACGAACCGGTTGGGTACTGGCCAATAGCCCTTTCCATCCTCCTACACGACCACACTACCGCGGTCCATTGTGGGGGGGATGAAATCCTATACTGAAACTCTTCGGGTTTGGTCACGGAAGCCCAGAAGGATTCAGGAGAATTTGCGGACAAGGGTTTTAGGCGAACATGCTACTTCTGCAACCTTCTAGTCGCCAAGAACCAGAGCGGTTTACTACTGGTTGGAGAATTTGATCTAAGGGAAACAAACCCAAAGTTCTATACCATCAAGACGCGGGAAAATCAAGAATGCGGTCTACACTTTTACTTTGGCGCTCCGGGGCCTCAACGATCTGGAGTTGTTCACGGAACCGTGACTTATTCGGTACTTTTCTTGTGCTTCTTTTTCTTTTGTGTGTTTAGGTTCTTGTGTTTTTCATAAACTGTGTGTTTAGTAGAACATTAATTTATATATGTGTGTTAAACTCTTTAGATAAACAGTGTGTTTAGTAAAACAGTGTGTTTGTTAAACACTTTAAATAAAATTATATTTTTAATAGATCTCAAGAGAAGAAGCTGGATCTCAAGAGAAGAAGTTGGAACTGAAGATAAAAACACTCTACCTAGACCAGAAGGTTTGTTAAAGATAAAAAGAGAAACTTGTGGCTCAAGTAGAGTCTCCTGATTGTTTTGGTGGTGGTGGACACATGTGAAAAACAAACACACGTGTGAACCTGATTCTTTGGGAGAATTCTCAACCGATTTAAACTAGTAATGAAATGCTTATTAGTAATAGTTTTACTACACAGAACAGAGTTAAATGTAAGATTCTCTTGCATAATACTCGTTGTTGGAATAGTTTGTAACTATAATTAGGTAGTATAATTATTTTTACTGAATAGAAACAACTTTTTTTACCATAGTAAAGATAAAAAGCAAAACATAAGTAAAACTTAGGTAAAACATAAGCAAAAGAAGAAACTTTTTTTTTTTTTTGTGAATAGAAGAAATTTGTTTTTATCAAATATTGTTGTCGTCTCTCCTCTGTTTCTATGACTTTTTTTTTATTAAAAATATCTTGTGATTTCCAAATTGCCAAAAATACTGGTTTTAAAAAGAATTCCAGATTAGCCTCGGAACTATTCTTTAGTTACCGATTTAAGTCGATTTTTATAATGTACGTATTTTAAAAGACACTAGTCACAATAGAAACATATGTAGATTAGATTTGAACAATAAATATACGATTTTTTAAAAGTGAAATTAATCAATAAATGTTTATCTTAACTTAATAAGAATGGAAAAATATATGAAAAGTTTACTACATTTTTCAGTTGACATTCTAAATGATAATCATAATAAAACATATTGCAAAGCAATTA